TCTACATTATTTCCAGTCTAAATTGGTCCAGCTTCCACAACCAGCCATTGGATCATGTTACATCTTTCTTTGCTATACTGAAGGCCCAATTATTAAATATCTGTTACCAATGTAGTTATCAACTGTAATCAAGTCACCCATTAATCTTCTCTTTATTGAGCTCCTTCAGGCTATCACCACATGACATGTTTTCTAATCCTTTAATTATTCTCATGGCTCTTCTTTGAGCCCTCTCCAATATACCAGCATACTTCATGTGAATACCAGAACTGGACAGAGTATTCCAGCAGTGGTCAACCAGTGCTAAATACAGAGGTAAAATAATCTACTTGTCTGGAGATTCCCGTTATTTATGCATCCAAGGATCACATTAGTTTATCCTTTTGGCCATAGCATCACGTTGGGATCTCAGTCAGCTGATCTACCAAGACACCACCCCCCCCTTTTTTTTTAAAGGGTTACTGCTTCCCAGTATAGAGTCCACAACCCTGCAAGTATGGGCTACAATCTTTTTGCCTAGATGCATACATTTAGCCATATTAAAATTCATATTGTCTGCTTCCGCCAAGCTTACAAAGCAATCCAGATTGCACTCCATCAGTGGCCTAACCCTCTTCATTATCTACTACTCCTCCAGTTTTTGCATTATCTGAAACCTTTATCAGTGACGATTTTAGGTTTTGTTCCAGAATCATTGATAAAAACGTTAAATAGCAAAGGGCAAAGAACCAATCCTTGTGGGACACCACTGGAAACACACCAGATCTATGATGATTCTCTGTTTATAATTGCATTTTGAGACCTATCAGTTAGCCAGTTTTTAATCCATTTAATATATGCCTATGTTAATTTTATATAGTTCTAGTTTGTTAATCAAAAAGTTGTGCAGTACCAAGAAAACTCCTGGAGACAAGTTATCTTAATCAGCTGACTTTAAAATGTCTAACTTCAGTAGGTGCTGTTTAACCTCCTCCCAAGATACTAGAGGAATTAAAAGTGTGTGTTACATCATCTCTTTTTCCCCACAAATACAAAACAGAAATATTCATTGAACACTTCTGGCTTTTCTGCATTATTGATAATTTAACATTTCCATCTAGTAACAGACCAATAACACTGTTAGGAACAAAAAGAATTCTAATACACTTTTAAAAGCTTATTATCCTTATCTCTGCTGGCCACAGATCTCTCCTTGTGTTCCTTTGCTTCTCTTATCAATTTTCTACAATCCCTAGCTTCTGATTTATATTCATTACTATCAACTTCCCCTTTCTTCCTTTTTTATATACATCTGCCTTTACTTCCCCCCTAAACCAGGTCAGTTTTTTAACCAATATAGCCTTCTTCCTCAGCTGTGGCTTTTGATGTATCTAGTAAAGTATTCTTAAACAATTCCCAATCATTCATATTTTTCAGATTAAATTCTTCCTTCCAGCTGATTTGGCTCATAATTATAGTAGCACCTGAAGTCCTAGGGTCAGAGAATCCTGGCTACCCACTCCACCTCTCCCCTGATGTTCCTCACTGTTATCTCCCTGGCGCACCTGGAGCCTTATTATAGGTTTACCTCTGGAGATGAGGCTACCTGCTCCATACGTTCCAAAAGTGGAGTGGGATAGGTCACTGGGGTACCTGAGGACCCACATTCCCAACACAGAGATTTTGGGACCCCAGTTAGCCACACTCTCCCTAACCCAGCTGTGAAATAATATAAAATGTGTCTAAGGAGGTTAGAAAAAGGATCATGAAATAAAGTGAGTTTCAACACACGAAAATGCAACCTATCATAGTTAAGTAAAAATAATCTCACTCCAAAGATTGTTAGGAGGAGATATTTCATGCAATAATGGAAAGAGACCCAGCTGCCTTGGTAAAAAGAAAAGGAGTACTTGTAGCACCTTAGAGACTAACCAATTTATTTGAGCATGAGCTTTCGTGAGCTACAGCTCACTTCATCGGATGCATACCGTGGAAACTGCAGCAGACATTATATACACACAGGTTTCAGAGTAACAGCCGTGTTAGTCTGTATTCGCAAAAAGAAAAGGAGTACTTGTAGCACCTTATAAATTGGTTAGTCTCTAAGGTGCTACAAGTACTCCTTTTCTTTTTGCGAATACAGACTAACACGGCTGTTACTCTAAAAGCTGCCTTGGTGTATAACAAAATCAAAGAGCAGCCTATATAGCATATGGTGGCTGAAAAAAGAAAATCCAACCTGTTTGTTTTTTATAAAGAGGTAGTTCTCTACTCAACACTGAAGAGACTGCACGTAGTGTACTGCATCAATTTCTAGGCAAAAGATGTGGATAAGCTGGGAGCTGAAACTGGAGTTCTACTTGATTTTATTTAGGTTTTTATATCATGTTCATCACCGCAGTATCTGAGCATCTTCCAGTAGTGCATTAAGCAATGTGACTATGCATGAGTCACATTTGTTCCAATCCTCCCCTGCAGAGGGGGGAAATATGTGCACTGGAAAATTGTTTTGGTAGGGTTGTTTTTTATTATTATTATTATTATTATTAATTATTGTTATTAGAGCAACAAAAATGATTAAGGGGATGGGAGAACTTGCAAGAAAAGACTGGAAAAAAATCCCACTGAATAGTTTGGATACATGACAGCTAATAAGTACAGAACAATTATCTACAAGTATATGAAAAGTGTCAATATCAAAGAGAGAGGAGTTTTAGGGTAGTCCCAAGAGGAGATAATGGGATGAAAGGGCAAATGGATAGCTTCTTCTTAGTAGTGAGATCATTTTAGATTCTGAAGGGGCAGCTTTCATGGTTTTCCCAAGGACCACTCCACTTGCCATTTAAAACTAGAGAGGACTCCTTCAAGCAGAGGACATGCTGCTCTCCTTAGAATCATCTCTCCCAGCATTTGCTAGAAGAACAGTTTCAGCATCTACAGAGGAAGCAGGCTCCCATAGAGTTTCAGGGGACAAAGTCAGGAGCAAGAGGGGGAGAAACTAAGGGATACCATATTCTCCCTTTGAATACCTAAAGCAGCATTAAAGTATGTCTTTGGACTTGTATCCCGTCACATTTGCCCAGAGAAATGGAAGGCCTAGCCAATGGCAGCACAGCTTTTGTAGAAGCTATGTGGCCATTGTGAAGAGGAGTAGCAGAGAGGCACCAAACCTCTGCGGGACCTGCTGATCTCTTTCCTGCAGATCTTTAAGGCTGGAAGGCCACATCACCTGCCTCTCCTATAGCTTCTCTAACCCTCATCCAGCCACCCCAACTTCAAGGTTTTGCAGGACATTATAAAAGGTTTACAACAATTTGCTGGCCCTCCTATGCCGTCTATGTAGGAGCTTACAAGTTTAACAGCTTCAAAATTCAATAGCTTTAATAATTAAATGCTAGACTGAAAATTCTGTACTTGATAGAAAATCCTGCCATTTGTCAGTTCAAGAACATGTCTACACACCATTATAGGACAGCAACTCTGCTAATGCTAATAGCTCAAATCTCCATGAAACACCAAGGTGTTCTTTTCTAAGTGGGATACTATCATAAATGGGACATAAGTACTTGTTTTCATGTATCTAAACAGTTGATAAAAACAGTATTTTATTTACCTACACACTATTTTTTTGTGAACATCTATGCAGGGGGGTATATTTTAATTACGTAAATTGAAGTCTGTGCTTCAGAACCAAATTCCCTTATCAGTTCTGCAAGAATAAGTTCACCTGGTTGGGAATGCAGTAAATTTTCCCAACTATATTAGTGTAATGAATATTTACAATAATCTAAAAAAGTCTAATAAATATTCAGACATTCACAAAAAGACCTTTAACAAATTGAGTATCCAAAACCACTTAACTTGAGTGTCCTAAAAAGAGTTAAAAAAGAAAAAGAAAAAAAAAAACCTAGTAAAACAGGGACAGCACATGGTACTTATATCAAGGAACAAGTTCCATCTATTAGCAGAATTTTTACATGGTCAATGTAATAGAAGATGAGCGTCTTTTTGTAAACAACATATTCTTAAAGCAAAGAACACAAAATAAGGTTTCATGTCACTAAATTAAACTAAATTGGATATATAGGATTTTTCAATTAGTGAGAAGAATTTTAGCTTAAGATTCAGCAGACACATGCTACTGCTTATGCCTAACAATATTCTCTGAGAGGTTTCAGAGTAACAGCCGTGTTAGTCTGTATTCGCAAAAAGAAAAGGAGTACTTGTGGCACCTTAGAGACTAACCAATTTATTTGAGCATAAGCTTTCGTGAGCTACAGCTCACTTCATCGGATGCATACTGTGGAAACTGCAGAAGACATTATATACACAGAGACCATGAAACTCTGAGTTCACAGATAATCTTAACACAACTTGCCTCCTTATCCATAAACTTAAATGCCCAGTAGGGGAGTTTTTATTTCGATATCAAGAGTTTCAAGAAAACACTGCTAGTGTAACAGACATTTGGAAACAACAATAACAAAGTCTACATTAAACTAAAGTAATAAACCCCAATGTCTTAAAAAATCTGGGACAACAACTCAAAACTATACAAGAGCACCATCACCAAAGCTCCAGTCAACCAGAAAATGCACGAAACTCAAGAATGAAAGTACATGATTTTACAAACACAAAGCTATTGTGAAAGTTAAAGTGTACCATAAAATATACTGCACAGAGCTAAGTCTCATGTCTATAATGGAACATTTGTATTTGAAAAAAGAAAAGGAGTACTTGTGGCACCTTAGAGACTAACAAATTTATTTGAGCATAAGCTTTCGTGAGCTACAGCTCACTTCATCAGATGCCTCATGAAGTTGATAGATTTCCACTCCATACGGCTAACTTCGGTGCCTTCCATAATGACAGGTTGATGAAGTGAGCTGTAGCTCACGAAAGCTTATGCTCAAATAAATTGGTTAGTCTCTAAGGTGCCACAAGTCCTCCTTTTCTTTTTGCGAATACAGACTAACACGGCTGCTATTCTGAAATTTGTATTTGAGTTTCTTATTCAACTAATTTCTCCAGTCACTGAAGAAAAGTGAAAGGTTTTCTAGGAACATTCCAAGAAGAATGTGTTTAAAAAACAATACAATTGGCCATATGGTCATGTATTACCATATTAGCATTTCAGAAAAGCTCTTAACTGTGCAAAAAATAACCTCATAAGGCTGTGGGGATTCACAGTGTGTCCCGTGATGCCTAGCTAAGCTGGGTTCTTAAATCTGTAGTCAGTCAGTCAAGGAAAAATTAAGGGTCAAGGACCAAAATTTCTCCCCTCTCATTACATCCACAGGAAAAAAAAATAAGGAGAGAAAAAAGTATCTCAGAGCATTCCCTGCTTCACCAATTAACAGGATGAAAGCACCTCCCCACATTAGCAGGCAATAAGAAGCGAGACTCGCACACTTCTTCCCCTGCCTCTAAGCTCTCAGAATTAGTCTTCACCTTCTTAGTCCTTAAACAACAAACCCAATTCCAGATCCATCCCAGTCCCGCACTGGGGCTATGCAAGCAGCTATAAATAGAATAGCTAAAGCACACATTGAAACACTTTCCCCATTAGAAACTAAAAAGCACAGAAAACCACAGACATCTCACACTACAGCAGTTTCTTGTAGCAGTCATTTCCTGCTTTTTACAACAAATACAGCTATGCATGATTTAAGTCAGAATTCAATTCTATCTAATCTGAGTGGAAAACCAAGAAGTCGAGTAATGTGATTAGTTAATATACAAGGATACTTTGTGACTGCATTCAAGTAAAAACTTTCAGAATATAATGTACTATAGGCTCCTGCTAAACTGTCTTCATAGCAAAGGTTGCCGTCACCCCTTTCCGATGACTGTTCTGTATCCAGTACTCCTTTATTCTATTTCAGAGAATCCAATTATATTACTTTTCTAGGTGAACCTCCTCTTCAGCTACAAAGACACACTCTCTAGCTAAAGAACCGAAGTGACTACAAGCTTAAACTAGTTAACTTTCAGTAGGAAAGATTCATAAGAGGTCAAGTACATGCATTTTTAGACCTTCACATCTAAGGCCTGGTCTACGTTACGAGTTTATGTCGGATTTAGCAGCATTAAATTGATTTAACCCTGCACCCATCCACACAGCGAAGTCATTTTTTTCGACATAAAGGGCTCTTAAAACTGATTTCTGTATTCCTCCCCAACGAGGGAAAATCGACATTGCCATTTTGAATTAGGGTTAGTGTGGACGCAATTCGAAGTTATTGGCCTCCGGGAGCTATCCCACAGTGCACCATTGTGACCACTCTGGACAGCACTCTGAACTCGGATGCACTGGCCAGGTGTACAAGAAAAGCCCCGGGAACTTTTGAATTTCATTTCTTGTTTGGTCAGGCGAGCTCATCAGCACAGGTGACCATGCAGTCCCAGAATCGAAAAAGAGCTCCAGCATGGACCGAAGGGGAGGTACTGAATCTGATCGCTGTATGGGGAGAGGAATCCGTGCTATCAGAACTACGTTCCAAAAGATGAAATGCAAAATATTTCAAAAAATCTCCGATGCCATGAGGGACAGAGGGTACACCAGGGACGCAACACAGTGCCGTGTGAAACTTAAGGAGCTCAGACAAGCATACCAGAAAACCAAAGAATCAAACGGACGCTCCAGGACAGAGCCCCAGACATGCCGCTTCTACACTGAGCTGCATGCAATTCTAAGGGGGGCCGCCACCACTACCCCACCCCTGTCTGTGGACTCTGATGATGGGGTACTCTCTGCCATGCCTGAGGATTTTGCGGACAAGGAAGATGAGGAGGAGGACGAGCTTGAGGAGAGGACACAGCACACCATTCTCCCCAACAGCCAGGATCTTTTTATCACCCTGACTGAAATACCCTCCCAACCCAACCAAGCCGGAGAGGGACCTCTGGTGAGTGTACCTTTTTAAATATAATACATATTATAAAAGCAAACGTTTTTTAATGATTAAGTAGCCCTGAGGACTTGGGATGCATTCGTGGCCAGTACAGCTACTGGAAAAGCCTGTTAACGTGTCTGGGGATGGAGCGGAAATCCTTCAGGGACATCTCCTAGAGGTACTCTAAAAGCCTTTGCAGAATGTTTCTGGGGAGAGCAGCCTTATTCCATCCTCCATGGTAGGACACTTTACCACGCCATGCTAGTAGCAAGTAATCTGGTATCATTGCATGACAAAGCCTGGCAGCGTATGGTCCCAGAGTTTGCTGGCATTCAAGCAACATCCATTCTTTATCTCTCTGTGTTATCCTCAGGAGAGTGATATCATTCATGGTAACCTGGTTGAAATAGGGGAATTTAATTAAGGGGACATTCAGAGGTGGCCATGCCTGCTGGGCTGTTTGCCTGTGGCTGAAAATAAATCCTCCCCGCAGCTAGCCACGTGGTGAGGGAGAGGGGGGAAAGGAGGAGCCTTGGTGCTGAGCTGTTCACATTTGGCTAGCAGGGATCTTCCCTGATCTACACAGTGGGGTGAGGGGTAAAGCAATTATTCCAGAGAATTGGATGGGGGAAAGAGGGGGGTTAGTTTTGTTTCCACTGCTGCATGTTAACAGGAAAACTGCAGCACTAAATGGCCAACTCAACGTGCTTTGCTTGGTATGGGAGAGGAGGGCGCTGCTGTTCTGAAGGCTGCAGAAGCCGGAAGACTACAGCTTACCATGGCCGCCTGCAAGCCAAATTCTGTTGCCCGGCCCTGCGTGTGTGATCTCTAATACCAAAGCCGCAGGCACTCAATAGAAGATGCAAAATGCGACCTTGTACCAAAATCACATGTGCTATGTAACGTGAATAGTGTTGTTCATCGTGAAAGAGTATAGCCATTGTTCTGTAAAATGTATCTTTCTAAATACTTCACTCCCTTTTTTTCCTCCAGCAGCTGCAAATGTTTCAAGCCTCCCTCCTCCATCCCAAAGGCTATCTCAGATAAGGTGGTGAAAAAAACCACACGTGCGATGAAATGTTCTCTGAGCTCATGCAGTCGTCCGGCACTGACAGCTCAGCAGACTGTGCGGAGGGACACAATAGCAGAGTAGAGGAAAGTGGCCGATGAACATGACGAGAGGTGGCAGCAGGAAGATCAGAGGAGGCATGAGGCAACGCTGAGGCTGCTGCAGGATCAAATGGACATGCTCCGACATCTGGTGGAGGTTCATGAACGGCAGCAGGATCACAGACTGCCGCTGCAGCCCCTGTTTAACCACCCTCTCTCTTCCCCAAGTTCCATAGCCTCCTCACCCAGACGCCCAAGAACGCGGCGGGGGAGGCTCCGGGCACCCAACCACTCCACCTCAGTGGACAGCCCATGCAACAGAAGACTGTCATTCAAGAAGTTTTAAAGTGGCCTTTTCCTTCCCTCCTCCCACACGGGCTACCTTGTGAGTTATCTCCCTATTTTTATAATCAATTAATAAAGAACACATGATTTTTAAACGATAGTGACCATTTCCTTTGCAAGCAAGCTGTGATCGAAGGGGGAAGGGTGGGTGGCTTACAGGGAATTTAGAGGCAACCAAGGGGGCGGGTTTTCATCAAGGAGAAACAAACAGAAGTGTCACGCAGAACCCTGGCCAGTCAAGAAACTGGTTTTCAAAGCTTCTCTGATGCGCAGCGCTTCCTGCTGTGCTCTTCTAACTACCCTGGTGTCTGGCGGCACATATTCAGCAGCCAGGCGATTTGCCTCAATCTCCCCCTTACTCTCACAGAGATTGTGGAGCACACAGCAAACAGCAATAACAATAGGAATACTGGTTTCACTGAGGTCTGAGCGAGTCAGTAAACTGTGCCAGCGACCCTTTAAACATCCAAATGCACACTCTACCACCATTCTGCACTTGCTCAACCTATAGCTGAACAGCTCCTTACTACTGTCCAGGGTGCCTGTGTATGGCTTCATGAGCCAGGGCATTAAGGGGTAGGCTGGGTCCCCAAGGATAACTATAGGCATTTCAACATCCCCAAGAGTTATTTTCTGGTCTGGGAAGTAAATCCCTTCCTGCAGCCATTTAAACAGACCAGAGTTCCTGAAGATGTGAGCGTCATGAACCTTTCCCGGCCATCCCACGTTGATGAAACGTCTCTTGTGATCCACCAGTGCTTGCAGCACCATTGAAAAGTACCCCTTGAGGTTTATGTACTGGCTGCCCTGGTGGTCAGGTCCCAAGATAGGGATATGCGTTCTGTCTATAGCCCCACCACAGTTAGGGAATCCCATTGTAGCAAAGCCATCTAGTATGACCTGCACATTTCCCAGAGTCACTACCTTTGATAGCAGCAGCTCAGTGATTGCATTGGCTACTGGGATCACAGCAACCCCACAGTAGATTTGCCCACTCCAAATTGATTACCAACTGACCAGTAGCTGTCTGGTATTGCAAGCTTCCACAGGGCTATTGCCACTCGCTTGTGAACTGTGAGGGCTGCTCTCATCTTGGTATTCTTGCGCTTCAGGGCAGGGGAAAGCAAGTCACAAAGTTCCATGAAAGTGCCCTTATGCATGCGAAAGTTTTAGAGCCACTGGGAATTATCCCAAACCTGCAACACTATGCAGTCCCACCACTCTGTGCTTGTTTCCCACGCCCGGAATCGGCGTTCCATGGCATGAGCCTGCCCCAGTAACACCATGATCTCCAAACTGCCGGAGACCACGGTTTTAGAGAAATCTGTGTTCATGTCCTCATCACCACGGTGCCTTCGCCTCCTCGCCTGGTTTTTCAGGTGCTGGTTCTGCATAAACTACACAATAACGCGCGAGGAGTTTACAATGGTCATAACTGCTGCAATGAGCTGAACGGGCTCCACGCTTGCCGTGCTATTGCATTTGCTTGGGCAATCCAGGGAAAAGGGTGCAAAATGATTTTCTGCTGTTGCTTTCACAGAGGGAGGGAGGGTTGACTGACGACATTTACTCATAACCACCCATGACAAATTTTTGGCCCCATCAGGCATTGGGAGCTCAGCCCAGAATTCCAATGGGCAGCGGGGACTGCAGGAACTGTGGGATAGCTACCCACAGTGCACTGCTCGGAATGTCGACCCTTGACATGGTACTGTGGACGCACACCGCCCAATTAATGTGCTTAGTGTGGACACATGCACTCTACTTTATACAATCTGTTCCCAAAAATCGACTTCTGTAAAATCAGAGTACTTTCGTAGCGTAGACATGGCCTATGGTATGCAAGCATTATGGTACAAAATTCTTTCTTCAAATTAGTAACTCTAATCTTTTTACTATCAGTTCAGTTTGGTTAAATTCCAGTTTACATCAACTATTTTTAAAATGTATCTGTAAATTACAGTATATTGCATTTTTGACCTGTGATTTGGGACTACAGCTAACTTGGAACAATTCTTTCAATTAAAAAAAGAGTTTTAAGTTTTAATGGCTCTATACAACTGCTTATTTTTAAAAGCATTTAAAGAAATAAGAGTAAATAAAGCAAAACGCTGATAAAAGATTTCTTAACTGTCTCATTTACATCCACATGGTTGCGTCAATTAAGATTCATTTACTGACAAAATAGTAAACCTCGTCTACTCACTCCAAATTATTTTGATAATCTAACTATGGTCACCAAGACTATATGAGTTTCTTATACCTTTTACAAGTTGGTGATGTGACCAGTCATCTGGAGTGAGCCTTCTCCCTCCAAAAATTAGTCTTTTCTATTCCAACTTTTCATAACTGCCTCTAGGGCTGAAGATCAAAAAAGCTGAAAAAACACAAACTAGAGCCCTTGTCTCTAGAATGCACTCTAATGCTTCCATAATCCTTTACATTTATAAACCATTTCACAGCTGAGATGTCCCTGAACTAGCACTTTGCAATATAGTCAACATTCCTTATTTATCTCCCATAAACTTGTAATCCAACAGGCTCTCTGATGCTTGACGTTCTGGCATTTTCATCTGTTGCACAAGCTTTGCTTAACACACAGTGCAACAATTCAGTAAGAGTTACCTAAGAGCTTAGAACACCATGTCATTACAGAGCTGTTCCTCATATGCACACTAAAGTGCCTAGCTACAAAATTACTAGTTAACGAAGTTAGATCGTCCACAGAAGAAGCAGCCAATGCCAGCAATGATGGCATTCAGTAAGTCAATGACTTCTCCTTGAAAGATGCAAAGTGTTCACACAGACACCTGAGGTAACCTGCAGAACATTTCAGGTGAACAGTAAGTGGAAAAAAGTTACACCAGGAGTTCTGCTGTTGTGACCTTAAAAATGCAAGGTGCCTTTTTTATAGGAGGTACTTGGATGCTGCTGCTAGATTCAATATTAAATCTTGACTCATTATATGCATTACATTAGAAATACAGGATTATATTTTTATTAATGATGAGGAATACATACAGTTCTCTTATGAAAAAGATAGGTATTTCCATACTTACTGGTGCTACTATTTTGCCTGTCTGTCCAACCTGCATGTCGTTGGGAACAAAGCCAGCATCAACTGCTGCACGGGAAGCACCAACTGGTTGAAAAAATATTTTCAGTGTTTTCTCTTAAAATATTAGTAAGCCAAATTTAGTTTGTGTATTAGTGAAGAGTCCCATGCAATGGCATGTATTTGAAAATTTCCCTCCTATGATTATATTCTTATAGTACTCCCTCTGTGCCACTGATTGAAATTTCCAGTTATTAAGTGCTAATGCATTCATAAGAAACAGGAAATCCCTACTCCTCCCACCAAAGAGTTGTATATTTAAATCTGGCAGATTTCCACACTTCACTTTATCAAAAAAATATCTGCACACAAGTGCTTTCCCTTACTCTTCATCTACCTTGTATGATATGTTCATATCATATCATGCTCCCATAGAGATAAGAGGTCAGTTATAAATATTTTGCTTAAATTTGATTTTTTTCTTTTATTTGTAAACTAAAGTATCTTAACCAGGCGTGGCCAAACCACGGCTCATAAGCCGCATGCAGCTTTTACAGTTAAAGTGCGGCTCTCAGAGCCCCCCGCTGGCCTCCTCTCATTCTCCACCTACCAGATAGCGGGAGGGAGCTTCTGCCTTGTGGTGGGGATAGGAGCTTCTGCCCTATGGGGAGGGAGTTCTCAGGGCTTTAACCCCTCGTGGGGGATGCTGGGACTTGAGGAATGCCTGCTGGGACTTGGGGCTTCAGCAGGACCGGAGCCGAAGCACTGGCAGGCGTGCCCCGTGGGGGCGAAGCCCTGAGCCCCAGCAGGCATGCCCCGCAGGGCTGAAGCCTCAAGCCCTGGAAGGCATGCCCTGCAGCTCTTGAACTTCTGAAGATTATCGTATGTGGCTTGGAGAGTCAGTAAGTTTGGTCAACCCAAGTCTAAACATTGCCTGAAAGTCAATTAACAGGTCAATTTAGAACAAAACCATGTTTGAAAATAACTGCTTATTATTGTTACATTTAAAATCTAAAAATTACTATCACTGAATAAAGAAAAAATACTGCTTTACTTCGTATATTTTGCCACCACATTATGCAGAGTCAGTTTTTCCTGTTTGTATCACAGATTAACGGAGGGGAAAGACTTTAAAAAAAATAAATAAATAAAATAGAAAATCTGACTGTAAAAACCACAAAAACTGTCAGGAGAGCTCTGGGGAAGATGCAATATCTAAAACTATTTTTAACTCACTTTTTTTAGTGGACGAGATTAAGTTAAAGGGTACCCCTTTTAGTGACAGGCCACCTCATCATCTACCCAAACAAAATACTAAAATGTTACAATGTCCAATATTAATCTTTGATTTTTTTTTAAAACCATGAACAGTCACAAATTTACATTTAGCACAGACATTCATAATTATACTTTAATGTATTCCATTTTAATTGACTGTCTGCATTTGAAGACCTATGCTGTAAAAAGCAAAGGAATTTTGAATCCAAAACTTTAAGTGATATTGCCATTTAAAAATACATATGAAAAATTTCCCCTTGTTGAGTTTTTCTGCTTACAAGGTACTATTCGGATATTCCACCAAAACTCATGCAGCCTGAAGAAAAGAGAGTGTTTCCTTTTTACAGTGTTAAGATGCCATCAATGGCAAAGATGACCATCGTGGCTAGACAAAAAACAATTTTACATCAGTAGTTGGATGGGATATTTAAAGACAATCAAAAAACACTAATGCTATCAAGCCTTGTTCTTTTGTGTCTGTTTCAAACACCCACAATCAGAACAAGAAAAAAATTTTTTACCTGCAGCATGCAATTGATCTGCAAGGTCATATAACAGTTTGAAGTTGTCACCACTCTTCAAACCTCGCCCTTAAAGGTAAAAAAAAATAGACATTCAATATTCAGTAATACCTTGTAATAGAGAACATATGCATACATGACACACATTACTAATAATCGTATTCACAGAGGCACTCAAGTACTTTTTGCAAAGGGTACTTTTGACATTTTACTCAGTTTTTAGCACCCCTATGCATCTTGAAAATAAAAATTTAAATTCATACAGATTTTGCCCTATTAATATTTGATTAATATGTAGTTATTTCTTATCCATGCATCAACATTGCCCTGTCTTGTTTGCCTCCTTATTTGTCAACAGCATCATCAATTCTCTCTAAAGTCTGGGAACAGAATTTGTCATCAATTTGTGCTCCCTCTGCTGGCTTTAGTTATATAGCTCTCCTATTGCAGAGCAAAAAAATAAATAAAAATACATCATGTAGCTTTTTATTTTCTTGCTCGGGGTAGTGCAATGAATTTTTAAACTAACAGATAATTCTTGAGCTATTGTACACTGGTTGTATTAATTTTAATGTA